CCAAGGTGGAAAATGTAAAAACACTAATTAGAAGGTATATATCAACTGCTAAGTTCACTACAGCCTTATTTATAATAGCCAAGTTATGGAAACTGCTTAAGTGTCCAAGGACAGAAGCGTGGATATGAAAAATATATATATTGTGTGTATAGGTATATGCACACACACACAATACATACATACACATGAAATACTATTAATAAAAAAGATGAACTCTGGCCATTTGCAATGCCATGGGTGATAATGGAGGGGATTATGCTAAGTAAAATGTTTCAGAAAGAGAAAGACAATGTATGGTTTCACTATTTGTGGAATATAGAGAAACAAAGCAAAGGGTCAGACCAAACCAAAGGAGTAACAAACCCTTGACATCTGACTGCAAAACTGAGGCAACAAAGTGAAGGGTAGTGAGGTGGGAGCACAAGAGAGAGGATTCTTGGGGATTTAGTGCTGGGTATGGGATGAAAAACATTTATTTGTAGAGGGTTGAGACAGTAACCCCTGAAAGAAATACAATGAGGTAAACCAACTTAACATATATAGCTTCAGAGAAAAAACAACCAACCCAACTGAACAATGAGCAGTAGATTCAATAGACACTTCTCCAAAGAACAAATTTAAATGACCAGTGGGTGTATATAAAGGTGTCCATCATTCCTTATTATTGGAGAAATGCAAATCAAAACAATAGTGAAATATCACCTTATATCTGTGAGAATAGCTATTCTCCAAAAGATAAGAAACAACATTGTCAGAAAAGATGTGGAAAGAAGGGAACCATTATATCCTGGGATGTAAATTGGTACAGTAATTATAGAAAGCAGTGGGAAGACGCTACAAAAAATTAAAGATATAAATTCCATATGATTCAGTCATTCAACTCCTGAATATTTACCTGAAAGATAAAAAAATAAAAACAAAGTATAAACACTAGTCTGAATAGAAAAAGTGCACACTCAGAGTTTATTGTAGCTGTATTTACAATAGCCACAACTGGAAACAACCTGAGAGCTGATCATCAGATAAATGGAGAAGGATGTGGCACATATACACAATAGAAATTATTCAGTCATAAAAAGATAAAATGCTGCTATTTGCAAAAACATGGATGAAACTTGAGGGGATTATGTTCAGTGGAAAAAAATCCCAGACAAACACAATAGAATTTCACTCTTTTATATATAAATATATATTTAATATATATTTATATATATTATATGTATATAAATATATATAATATATATAATATATTTATATATAGAAGATACAAAGAAATGGAAAGACATCCCCTGCTCATGGATAGGAAGAATAAACATTATTAAAATGGCCATCCTACCAAAAGCAATATACCGATTCAATGCTATTCCAATAAAAATTTCAATGTTATTCTTCAAAGAAATAGAACAATTATTGATGAAATTCATATGGAATCACAAAAAACCCCGAATAGCCAAAGCTCTCCTGAAAAAAAAAGAAGGGAATGGAGGCATCACACTCCCAGAATTCAGGCTATACTACAAAGCCATAATCATCAAAACTGCATGGTACTGGAACAAGAACAGACACACAGACCAATGGAATCGAATAGAAAATCCAGAAATAAACCCACAGATTTATGGTCAACTAATCTTTGACAAAGGAGCAAAGACTATGCATTGGAGCAAAGAAAGTTTGTTCAATAAATGGTGCTGGGAAAACTGGGTCGCTGCATGCAAAAGAATGAAGCTTGACTACTACCTCTCACCATACACAAAAACCAACTCAAAATGGATTAAATAACTAGACATAAAACCTGAAACCATAAAATACATAGAAGGAAATATAGGCGAAACACTACGGGATATGCACATCAAAGACATCTTTACAGACACATCACCCAAAGCAGTGATAGTGAAGGCAAAGATAAACAGCTGGGACTACATCAAATTAAAGAGCTTCTGCACAGCAAAAGAGACAATAACAAAAACAAAGAGAAACCCCACCAACTGGGAGAACATTTTTGCACCCAACACTAATGATAAAGGATTGATCACAAAAATCTGCAAAGAGCTAATGAGACTCAACAACAACAAAGAAAATAATCCAGTCAAAAAATGGGCAGAAGAGCTAAAAAGAAACTTCTCTGAAGAGGAAATGCAAATGGCCAACAGGCATATGAAAAAATGTTCAACATCACTTGTAATCAGGGAAATGCAAATCAAAACTACCATGAGATACCATCTTACACCAGTGAGAATGGCACATATTAAAAAAACTAGCAACAACAAATGTTGGCGAGGGTGTGGAGAAAAAGGAACTCTTCTGCACTGTTGGTGGGAGTGCAAACTGGTCCAACCACTATGGAGAGCTGTGTGGAGATTTCTGGACCTACTAAACATAGAGCTTCCATATGATCCAGCAATTCCACTCCTAGGTATTTACCCAAAGGACTCAGAAACATCAATTCCAAAGAACACCTGCACCCCTATGTTTATAGCAGCACTGTTTACAATAGCTAAGCTTTGAAAACAGCCCAGCCCAAATACCCAAAAATAGATGACTGGATCAAGAAGATGTGGTACATATATACCATGGAATATTACTCAGCATTCAAAAAGATAAACACATGCAATTTGCAGCAACATGGATGGCGCTGGAAGGGATCATGCTCAGCGAAATAAGCCAGAAAGAAAAAGAAAAATACCGGATGGTCTCACTCTCACTCATAGCAGGAATCTAGAAAACTTAAATAAGGGACCAGGAAAATGAATAACTATAAGAAAGTGAAAATCAAAATCAACAAAAATCTATGAACCAGAGACACTTTTGGGGGGGTGGGTGGCGGGAGGGGAGGGATTGGGGTCAAAAGGGGGGGTTGCAATTGTATGGGGAATATAAAAATAAAATTTATTATTAAATAAAAGTCAATAATAAGTTAAAAAATATATATAAATATATATAAATTTATATATATTTATATATAAAAGAAGCAAATGAACTAAGTATACAAAAAACCCAAAAATTATCTTTTACCTATTTCATATATATATCATATGTGACTATATAAATAAATAACCTATATTACTAAAGTTATCATGTAAGGACAGAGGGGTCTTTGCATGTGGACTTAATGTTCCACAACATTTTTGCACTTAATAATCTTAAATACACAAAGCAAATACTGATAAAATTGAACGGACAACAATTAGACTTAAAATTGGAGTCAAGTATTTCAGCACCCTATTCTCAATTATTTATTGAATAGAAAATCATGACAACATAATCGATCAACCTCACCTACTTGATATTTATAGAATGCCTACCCAATAAGAGCTTGTGCCTTTTAAAGTGCATGAGGCATTTGTCAAGATGGACATTACTGCGAGTCATAAAGCAAAATGTCACTATATTTAAAATAATTAATATAAAATATGGTTATTGATCAAAAGTGGTTTTACATTAGAAATCAGTAATATAAAAGGTCAGTGGAATATCACTAAAAGGGACAATATGGGAAGATTTATGTTACTAATTGTGATACAGATTTAGATGCTATCAGTGAAAAAAAATACCTTGAAAGATGCAACCAGGTAAGCTCTGTCAAGGAGAAATAGATAACTTGAATAGTCATATACTTATTGAATAATCATAACTGGTTAAAAACATGGTAATACTCACTAGAGAATATTAATATATAGGGAAGTAATAATAGTTTTACACTAACTCTTCAAGAAAATTAAAGAGCAGTGACTATGTCACACTTCATTTTACGAGGTGGCATTCTTCTGAAATCAAAATGAAGACATTAATAAAAAAATGTATAGAATAATATTTCCCATGAACTTTAGGTGCAGTTTTACCTTTTAATTTTAGTAAATCTTATCAATGATTTTGAAAAACAATGTGACAAAATGAGACTTACTCAAAGCATGCAAGGTTGGTTTTATATTGGAAAGTCGATTTTGTCAATAGATTAAAAAGGAAAAAATTACATTAATAGATGTACAACAGTTGGCAAAGTTAACATCCATTTCTGATTAAAAATTCTTCTAATTTGCTGGGAATTTGTATCAGTTGTTTAGTAATTACTCAAGAAATGAAAAATCTACAGTTAGGTACTATTCACTAGACAGCCTAAAATGTTAAAGACTATGGATGCTAAGTATTGAGGAGAACATGGAGCAACTTCCACTCTCATACACTACTAGCAGAAGTGTAAAACATGACAAATACTTTGGAAAACAATTGGGTAGGTCCTTAAAAATTTAAACTCATACCTATTATACACTCCAAACATTTCGTTCCTTGGAATTTTCTAAAGAAAAATAAAAGGATATGTCCTCATGAAAAAAATAGTATACAAATGTTCATAGAAGCTTTATTTGTATAGCCAACAAGTGCAAACAGTCACGTGTGCCAACAGGTGGATGGATAAAGGAATTTTAGCATATCATACTTTGGACTGTTAGCCACAAAAAGTAATTAACTTTTGATAAATACAACAGTGTGAATAAACTTGATAGTTACTGTACTTAGTAAAAGAAGATAGAGAATGAAAAAATACACATTTATGATGCCTTTACATAAAATTCTAGAAAATGTATAAAATCTATAGTGGCAGAAAACAGATCAGTAGTTTCTGGGTTAAAGAAGTGAGCATTGAAGGAGGGAGAAATTATAAAGGGGTAGAGTAAATGGAGACGTGATGATTAGGTCATTAAGTTGATTGTGGCATAATAGCTTTACAATTTATGCATTTGTATTAACTATATTTTTTCTGTATTCCTGAAGCTTTATGTTTTGGAGTCTTACTTGCAGGGATTACTTCTCCTAAGGGTGGCCAAGTATTTGAGACAGCAAAGTACAATTCCAGTTGTATACCTTTCCCATGCAAACCAACTGATCCAGAGTCTTAATCACCCCATGGCCAATTTGTAAGTGAATGAAAACAGTCTCAGAACAAATTGAAATATTTGAACTAGCCAATCCTAAATCTGCTTATTTTGCTTTGCCTTCTCCAGGGAGTCCACATTAATGGCAGTTGCTCGTGGTTTCACCTTGCTGCTGCTTCTCCAGACTGACTCCCACCTTCCCTTCATGACTCTGTGTGGACCTTGAGAACTGTGAGTAGCAAATGCTTTTCCATGGCAGACATCTCATCATCAGAATAAAAACAAAACCCTGGGTATATTTTAAGAGTGTCATTTATTATATATTAGTTATACTTTTTAAAATTATCAAAATAAATGCATTGATTTTAAAATTGCAAACAAAAATATCTTCCAGAATCTTTACAGTTTTTCCCATTTTTATATTTCCTTGGAGAATTCACATTCTTCTACAAATTTTAGATTACCCAATAGACCTGTCTGCAGTAATGGAAACACTCTTTGTGTTTTCCAATACACCAATGACTTGTCACTTATAGCTGGTTAGCACTTACAATGCAGTGGTTTAAGTAGGCATTGAACTGTTGGTTTAGGTTTCACTAATTTTAATTTAGATTAAGCAGTGGCCACCATATCAAATAATAATTAGTGCTAGAATTTGTCAATGGAGAGATAGCAGTAGAATGGATATTCTTTTCCTCTAGTAGTTGAAGAGATATTTGATTGAAAGTGGTTTATATATCTGAGGTTATTGAGGCTAGATTTTAGTTTGTATAGGGGCTTTCTCTGTCTGTTTTGATTAGTTCTTGATCCTGGACCATACAGCTTCATGAGTCCCAACTGAATGGTTGGACAGAGCTGGGCTCCATTTTTGTCTCTGCAGCTCATGATAATACTGAAACCTTTAGTTTTCTAACCAGTTGACATTTGAGAGGGATGTATGGCAGGGGGTGGTTGGGGGAACACTGAGTGTCTTGCCTCATTCAATTTAAGAATCAGAAGATCCTTTGAGACGAACAGTAACCTAGTTTCAGGCTCACTTCTCTGTGGTACTCTTTGCTCCTAGATCTTGTTCTTTCAAGTCCTGGCTGACATAATAGTTCTCTGATTACTTCGAAGGCTTTTGTAGTTTATCCAGTTTATATATTGTTTGTAGTTTGTCTAGTTTATATATTGGTAGTTACTGTCAGTGGTAGAACAAGTTACATTGCTATAGCATATCACAGAGTTTCTGTTGTAAAACAGTACTTGTATAATTCCTATTTCAGGCACAGTAAATGTTCCCTCTTTTTTTAACAGCATAGTAGCTCTAAGACCAAATGAAATGACAAAATTTGATTTATTTAAGCTTAGGATTTGTAAGTATTTAAATTCTACTGACTTTTCAGTGAATTTTCTGTCACCCAAGTGGGGATTGTTTATCGTGTCATCTCTAAAGCTTCATCTTTTGCTCAAGATCTTTGTTAACCTTTATTTTCCTTTTCACTTAAAAATTCTGTTGTCTATGTCCCATATTCTCAACTTCAATTCATTTATTTTAACCTCTGAAAGCTTAGAGTACTTCCCTATTAGTTAGCCAGAGAATTCTTTTTATCTCTAAGCTTCAATTTCTTTCTGTTTTTCCATTTTGTGTGCTCTAACTTTTTGATGTCACTTCAACAATGAATTCATAGCCCATTACCCATAGGAAAAAGGCTGAACCCCTTGACTGTGGCACATAAGGCCTTTCGTGTGCTGGTCACAGCCTACTTCTCTAGCTGTATTTTTTGTTTTACTTCCACATGCAGCCAAAGGTTTAGCTTTTCCATATTCATGGCAACAAAGATGTATTTTTAAATTTTTTTTAAAGATTTATTTATTTACACAAGAACTGGGGTATAGGCCATATGTGCGGGAAGGTGAGAGGATTCACGAGATTGGGGAACAGAACAGGCAGACTGACTGAAATACACGGCTGAGGGGAGCAGCAGGCGAGACAGGAGAGGTCTGCCATGCGATGTGGGTATCACCCCGGGCAGCTGGGATCAAACCCGCACTGCGGAGGCTGTGGACAGCTTCACAGTGCTGCGCTCAACCGCCTGTGCCACCAGGGAGGCCCAGGATTGATTGATTGATTGACTGATTGATTGATTGATTGATTTTATTTATTCTAAAATACTTCCATATTTTTTATATCCCTCTGTTTGGATTATACTCTATTTTCTTCTTAAATATTCTTTTTCCTTTCCCAGAAAAAAATTATTCTGATCCTTCAAAGTCCACTGAACCATCAAGTCTGTTGTGAGGTTCTAATTCTCCTCTCCCTCTCTACCATGGAGGCCCCTCTAATACCGTGGTCATTCTAGTAATGTTCTTTTTATGCTGGGAGAACTTAGAAATGCTGCTAATTGTTCTGAAGCTTTTCCCCAGCATTCTGTTAGCTCCTGGTACATGGTGCCATTTTCTCATTTATCTTTATTTACTTTCCCCTTAACACTGTGCTTAACAAGTAGTAATTGCTTTTTAAGTGTTTATTTTCTATAACTGAATTGCAAAGAATACCAGTGCTTGGCCTAGGCCTCAGCTGATTATTTAGACAGAAAGTTAAGTATTTCCTGGCCTGCATTTAAATTCCAGGGGAGACTATTTTGTTCTGGTGGGTCTTTCAGAATTTGCTAGCTCCCAATATACAGGTAACTGCCAACATTTCCTATTATTTTGGGCCAACCCTTGATATTACAAAGGATATTATCATTTTTAGCACAATACTTTCTCACAATCCTTTCAAAGAAACTAAATTTTATACAGTCACATACAGAAATAAGACTATATGGAAATAATACTAGATTCTTATAATTTAATCCAGAAGTTCCATCCATATCTTTAAATTTAGTTATGAATTGTCATCAGAGTATATTACGGAATGGCTCCAAGATTCCTTAGTAAGTTAGCTTGCTCTCAGCTGGGGGTGAATTTTATTTAGCAATTAAATTCATAGGTATTTGGGGACTTTTTAGATTATTTTCTAGCTTATTCTCTGAAGATTGTAACTTTGAATGCAAAACATGCATCAGTTTATGCCTGAAGCAATGGAAAAATGAGGTCTTAGTGCCCTTCATATAAAGTTTCCCAGATACATACTGTGCTCTAAAGTTTATGAAGAACACCAAAGAGTGAAAATAAGTGAAAACACTTTAGGGCACTCCTCAAACACCTTCATAAGGTTAGAGTGGAAAATATAAGATAAAAGCAGTTATACCTGAAAAAATTCTAGAAGTAAAGTGAAATATTTCATGTCCCCTTGGCAAGTTAAAGGGGGTTATGTTGCTGTCTGCAGCTGGAGCAGCACTGTGCAGTGGATGCAGTGGAGTAAAAAGAACATTTGGTAAATTGCAGAAATTTGAAAGAGATTATAACCCTATGAGGAACATGACCAAATTGAGTTATTTAACTCCTAATGAGAAAAAAACCAGAGAGAGAGAGTTAGAGTTAGAGTTAGAGAGTTAGAGTTAGAGAGAGAGAGTTAGAGAGAGAGAGTTAGAGAGTTAGAGAGTTAGAGTTAGAGAGTTAGAGAGAGAAAGTTAGAGAGAGAGAGTTAGAGACAGACAGACAGGGTAAATGTTTTGTGTATGGGCAAATTGATTATTTTAGTGCTTTCTCCCCCCCATAAAAATAAACTGGGTAAAACAACAATCTTTCTCGAATACTACCTCACGACAATCTCAAGAAGGAAGCCCTTTAAGTCTGGACTATGCCAGATTCCAAGAGAGAACTGCTGGAGCTGAATGCTCCACCTCTTTCCCAGCTCTGTACTTTCACTCATTTTGTGCCTTCTGAATGAGAAGGAAGGAAGGAAGGATGGGTAGAATGGGTAGCGTGGGTGGGTGGGTTGATGGATGGATGGATGGATGCATGGATGGATGGATGCATGGATGGATTCTGGGTCCTCAAAACAAAATAGTAGGAACAAAAGGTGATACAGGAGTGTATAATTTATAGAAAAAACTTTAGATTATTGTAAAAGCAGATTTTATATCCCACAAGACACAAGCCAGCAAACATATGCAGTATTCCCCACTTGCTATAGTTTCCCTATGTGGATTTCAATTACTGCAGTTGACCACTGTTTGAAACTACTAGGTACAATAACATATTATGAGAGCAAGGGAGAGAAACTATGTTCACATAACTTTCATTACTGTATATTGTTATTTTTATTATTATAAATATCTTTACTTATTTTATAAATTTTATCATGGGTATGTTTGGGAAAATCATTGGTACATGTAGGTTTCAGTATTAGTAGTAGTTTATTCATAGTTTCAAACATCCACTGGGCTTCTTGGAACATATCCCCTACAGTAAGGGAGGACTACTGTGTTACCAAGGGGAGAGGAATAGGATGTTGAAAATACTAATCTCAGGACAGAGGTGGAGTAACAACGAGCATTCAGAGTCTCCTAATGAGATTTGATTTTATCAGTCATTTAGAGTCTAACTTCCAACTTCCACAACAATAATGACAACATCCATAGGGATGCTAGAAGCTCCCTTTGCATCCCCAACTGAGACTCACTGTTGTCATTTCTAATGATTTTGAAATTCAAAGAATATATTTATTTCAATTCATGTGTTATTTTCTGTTGTGATATATTGCATTGAAAAAAACATAACATGAAATAATTTCATGTACAGGATCCTATTCCATTCTTAGATTGTCTTTACAAATATTGCCCAAATGATGCTAAAATGACCGACTTGGACTTTGCGCTCTGAGTTTGGCAGGGTAAGCTCAGGCACTAACTGCTTTCTTTAGCCTCTTTTCCTGAGGTTCAGTGACTTTACTTAAGTGTCTCATGTGCTGGCATGGCCTTAATTGTGAGTTTTAAATTCATTTTATTATTTATAAACACTGTCTCTTCACATGCCAGCTTGTATACTACACTTCCACCCATCACTGTAGAGTGAGCCTCATATAAAACTGTATGATCAGTGCTTAAAGATTTTCTACCCTGCTGGGGCTTGTTGAGTTTTAGTAGGAAAAAAATACGTATAAAAATCTGGCTCCTAGTTTATGCCTTGAGTTGTAAAAAGATATTCCTCTCAATTAACATATTTCTTTGAATTGTCTCCATATGTGTCTTTTTTTTTTTAAATGTGCATTAGATGCCAAAAACTGTTAGAGCCTTATCCTAATCAATGTTGGTAGTTGCTGGATCAGGGACTTTCTCATGAACAATCTAGTCATTTAACACCATCACAGAAGGAAAATACAAGTCATCAAGCGTTAACTCCTCAGCCCCACTCCTCA